AAAACTTGCAACACGCCGTAACTCACCTCAGAACGTTAGCACGTCGGAGCAGTATGCATCACGTGATAGAGCGGCTGTGGCATGCGGGACCTGTCGGTGGTCTGGATAGCATTTGGAGCTTCGCTAGCAACCCGGCATTTCATCTCCGACAAAGTTATCCCCGAGAGAAGTAAAGCAAGTGTGTAAGTCCATCTCTGAATGTTTGTAAAGCATTCCTGCGTTAAGCTTAACAAGCGATATATGGAGCGACTGCCTCTTCTTGCTGCTACTTCGATCATGAAACTGCTTAACGATGTTTGCGACTGACGTCTTGTCTCTCCTCGGAACTGTACTTCATCTATGTAAGAACTGTGGGAATTAACAGCATACAAGTACCGTTGACCTATACAGTTACTAAACGAGCGTTACTCCTTTCTTCTGATCATATACTTACTGTATCAGCCCGGAGCCGAGTTGAATCTAAATTTCTTACTATTATAGTCATAGTCTTCCATTAGTGTCGTCTACTTTCAACTCGGCGCACCCAGGTATAACAACAGGAGATATCACATGCAGACAAGAAAATGCCGATGGGTTATCTTTGATTCAATCAAACAGAATCACGCTGAAAGCTGACCCTGGATGACTAAAGAGGTCCAGGTCCTGCTAAAGCAACGTGACTCTGCCTTCAGCTCTGGTGACAGCAAGCAGTACAGTGCAGCCAGATCTGAGCTGAAAAGAGGCATCAGAGAGGCCGGGGGGTTTTCACTAAGATCTTCACGCTTCACTGCCCCAGTCCTGCATCCTGCCGTGCCTAAAGTCGGCCACAATCGTCTCACTGCCAAAGTGTACCAACCTCAGCAGCCTCGACGACTGCCGCCCAGCTGCTCTAACACCTGTTATAATGAAGTGCTTCGAGAAACTGGTCCAACATCACATCATGTCCTGCCACATACAGAGCTAACAGATCAACTGAAGATGCCATTGCTACAACCAACACACCACCATCTCCCACCTGGAACAACAGGGCCGTTACGCCAGGCTGCTCTTTGTTGACTTTGGCTCTGCTTCTAATACGATACTCCCCGACAGACTAATAGTTAAACTGCTGGATATCGAACTTCCTCCGACCACCTGCTGCTGGATCGGAGACTTCCTGTCAGACCGTGTACAGCGAGTTAGAGTGGGCCCTCAGCCTTAACACCGGCTCTCCACAACTCTGTGTACCGAGTCCCCCACTGTACACTCTGTACACACATGACTGCGTCAGTACCCACCCAGATGATACCATCTTGGTAGGGCTCTTCTCTGGGGGCGACAAGACGGCGTACAGAGCTGAGGTTCAGAGGCTGTCAGATTGGTGTGTAGACAACAATCTGGACCTCAATACCACCGAGACAAAAGAGCTGGGAGTCGACTTTAGAAGGAGGAAGTCTGAGCTGCATCAGCATGAATGGTTAGTGTGTGGAAAGGGTCTCCAGTTTCAAGTTCCTGGGTGTGCACATAGACTCAGACCTCCAGTGGAGCTCAAACACCTCAGTGGTTGTAAAGAAGGCAAAACAGCATCTCCATTTTCTGAGAATCCTCAGAAAAATGGGCCTGAAGGAGCTGCTGGTCGTCTTCTACCACTGAAAGTGTGCTGACATCCTGCATCTGTGTGTGGTTCTCCAGCTGCACCATGGCACACAAAGAAGCACTTCAGAGGGTCATTAATATGGCCCAAAAATCACTGGACATCCTCCTCCCTCCCTGAATGGTAAATGGCCTGTATGTGTATAGCGCTTTACTCAGTCCCTATGGGCCCCAAAGCGCTTTACACTACTTTCAGTCATCCACCCATTCACACACACCCTGAAGGACTTGTACAGCACTAGTGTACTAGGTATGACTGTGCAATGACATTAAAGAGTGATCTCCCATCTCTAACGATGGCTGTCAAAGTAGCATGAGTGAGACATCTCACCAGACGGCCCTTCTTGCTGGGGCAAAGCTAGAAGAGGTGCTTATCGTAACAGTGAAAGCTATTTAAAGGTGGCCAGGATGAAAGTGAAACTGAGGAGGTTAAGAATCTCTTTGTGAGCTCAATAACATACTGTGTGAAGGCGTTATTATTTCTGTTTTCTTTCTCTTCCCTTTCATCCCTCACAAACCTTTCCAGTCTGAGGAACAGCATTCTTCATGATGCGAGCCACATTAGCAATGGGAAGATATATGTCCTGTTCCCTGTAGTTCTCCTTACTACTGCCGTCTTCATGGTCATTCAGATTCTCATCTCCATCATCTATGAAACACACAGAGAGTCAGCGCTATAAGAACAAAGCCAAAATGCACTTCGATGAAGATGATGATTTTATACTGACGCTTTGTTTTTTTCCTTACCTTCCTGAGGCTGGAGAACATAGTGACTGGAAGCCATGTACTCTCCAGTGATGCCCAGCTGGGAGGCGTCGGTGGTCGAGCTGTCTCCGTCCATCTGCAATACCACACAGCTGACTTAGTTATTTGGAGCTGTAGCACTACAGTAAACCTATGAAGCCTGAATGTAGCCAGCTTCTTAGAGCCACGCCTTAGGCATGATCTGAGTTATTTAGAAGGGTCCCAGCATGCATGCTCCTCTAGGAAGGAGAAGATGTTTTCCTTTGGGATTCAGCCACATGCTGTTTTACTATGCTCTGAGCTATGAAACAGAATAAATAATGCCTGCTTGCTGTTTTTCTCCGTAGCTACACTGTGACTCCAACACTCAGACTGACCTAGATATGTCTGACATGGGTGAGCACAAAAGAAAGTGCAGCTATGACCTGTTAAACAAACCATTTATCCATTTTATTTATTGATCTTTTGTTTGACAGTAGCAGACCTACTGTTGTATTGAGTAGGGTAAGGTGTTGTTTAAATGAACACAGAAGCTTTAAAGTTTAAAGTAATAGTATTTTTAAATGGATCATGATAATGATCAATGCTGACTGATTTGAGCATTTTTATCATAATGTTTTAGGCCATATGTCAAACCCTGCAATCAACAGCGAAACATACATCAAGGGTTGACCTAACAAGTGAAAGATCGCTGGTTCGATCCCGGGAGGAGACACAAATCCCTTTGGGCTTGTGTCAGGAAGGGCATTAAAAATAATACCAACTAAAAGAAGCTGTTACTGTAGCGACTCTTTGCAAATAAGGGGGCAGCTAGCTTTAATTGTTGCAGGTTAGGACACTTTAATTATTTTTTTCTTTTATTACGTATTAATTAACGAGGTCATTCCGCTATTCAATCAACTGGTAAGCTAAAGGCAAAGGCTACTTTATTATAACATCACATCTATCAGGGAGAGAAGGCCATCGCAATGTTTTTATAGCGTAATACTAAGTCATTCAACATTTCAATGTACACTAAATATCAGTAGCTCTTATTCGGTGGAGGTAACCTGGCCGTTAATAGTGCGCCAAACGTGTTTTGTGTTGTCACCCAATCCTGATACATGCGTGTGTTTTTGTTTTCCAGCAGACTGACTTGGCGGGTTTGTTGCTATTGCGTCTTGGTGCTTGTTTTAGAGGGTTTATCTGCATCCTGAGTTTCTACTAACGACTAGCTTGGTTAAGTAGCGTATTTCGGTACTCAGGCGTGTATAAGGAGGAATGCCACAATAACAGCGCTCCCTCATACTGTGCGCACTTTTATATCGGCCTGTGTGTTTGCACTGAGAAATGTTTAACTTGGCATGACACAGCTAGCTACCCACTGGAACTGTTAGCATTTATCTGAAAGGGAAAACGTAAAACAGCTGTAAGCCAACGGTGAGGCCAGCTTACGTTAGCCACATGCTAAATACACTGGAATGTGTTTGGCTACCGTGTGGTAAGTAGCGGTTATCATTTGTGACATTTTTAGCTAATGTTAGCTAATGTTAACCCGGGGATGGGGTTAGCCCGTGGCCTCGCCAATATTGGGGAAACCAGTGCTTTTAACGTAATGAAGAGAAGCTTTCCAGTGGACTGTTACCTTGAGTAGTTAACCCTATTCAGGCACTGAGTGTCCCTTAAATACATTCTCACTGCAGATCCAACGCAATTCGCGTCCGCCTTGGCCTGTTCTTTGTGGTGCACAGCATAGCAAGACGTGACCAGGGCCGAAATGTTTAGTAGTCATTTTTAAACTTTCACCCGCTGGATACTTCCTGATGAGCAGCCCTCATTCACCCAGACAACAAATAAAAAAATCAGACAGAGACGGACATTTCCATTCGAGCTAACGAGAAATCGGTTAGCAATCATTGGCCGGAGCCAGGAACAAACCTGCAATGAAGCCCTGGTTGGTTACCTTCCTGAGACGGCTGTTTGGTTGGACAGAAAATGGCTGCAAAAGGACCAGTCCCAGCGCGGAGCCGCGGCTGCAGTACCCCATCTCAACAGTAGAGGCCCGTGCTGCGTTCAGGACCTTCAGTACCGCACAAGCCAACATTTACATAGGAATGGTAGTTGGTACTGTTATCGAAACTATATGTCCAAGAAGTAACATAAACGAAGTAGAAAACCCTTACATCCTTAGATAAAGTACACATTGGTTATAATGTAATATAATGTAATCTCACAGAAAATGTAGTTCCTACATCTACGGCAGCAAATGAACGCATCTTGTAGCGCGTGGATTTCCAGAAAACGTCTACGTGGTCTGCCTACCGCCGCTGGCATATGGTATAATAAATTAATAATAAAAAAACAAGTAAAAAACGAACAAACACACACACACAAACCCGAAAAAAACAGCCACTCGAATTTTGTTTTAAAGCGGTTGAAAGGCGCAGCAACAGTAATAGTTCCAGACATTTCTGACTGAGATAGGTAGGCTTTTTCATCTCGGGGAGCATTTTTCAACCAAGTGCGACAACAAGTCACTATATGGTTACCTTGTGTTACACTTTATGGTTGTTTGTTTTGTGTCTGGGGCTTTCGTATGTCTGGGTCATTTCGTGTGCACTTGCTCAGAATCCCCAAACCTTGTTTTACTGCTTAGTGGCGGATGCTGAGTTGAAAATGTTATTCACAATTTTCACCACAAGATGGCGCGACAGTTAAACAGTCCATTAAAAAACCCCAGGTAGACACTAATTAGTTGTGATCAATTCTGATTGATTTTCATTTAATAGAAAAATAGTACCTAGGGCACATGTGTTTGGTTTTTCATTAATGAGATATGGCTTGCTTTCTGCTTTCAGATAAACTAGACGAGACGAGAAAGAAGGGGGAAATGCATATACTCATAGATATTTATACTCTTTATACAAATTGTTTTATTGAAAAGTTGAATCGTAAGATATTTGATGTTGTTATCCTAGCTATGTATAGCTTCAAATGAAGGAGTCTTCATAAAAACTGGAGAAGGTAGGAGAACAAATTTATTACTTACAACATACCACTATTAGGAACCTTTGCAATGACAGACACATTATTAGGATTTGTGGCATTGCTCACAGATAATGTGGAAAATCTTGGTTCTGCAAATTTAAAGTTTAAAACTTCTCACTTGGATTAGATGTTGTGACCTGGCCTAACTACCACTGTGACTGTGTATTTCCAATCCCAAAGAGTCTGATGTAAGCAGTTGCATGAGGTCAAAGGTGTTAGGAAGATGATATTTAGTCAAGAACTCAAAGATTTTCCTCTAGAATATTTGCAACATCGTGCTGTACCAGAGAAAACACAGCATCTCAAAGTCTCTCTCTCCCTCTGTCACACACACACACACACACACACACACACACACACACACAAGATCAGCATTATAGACAAAAACTAGAGTCACACGTCTGGGAAAAGGAAACTTTAGCTTATGCTATAAACCCACACACTTCAATGAGGCGACAAGCCCAAATGACTTTTAGCACAGATAAAATATCTGTAATGTCTGTAAACATGAAACAAATGAGAAGTCACAGGTCTTCAAAGACTGACTTAATGAGTCACTATACAGGGTTGGCCATTTATATGGATACACCGTGATATTAAAGTCCTGTTTGTGGCACATCAGTATATGTGAGGGGGCAAACTCCTCAAGATGGGTGGTGACCATGGTGGCCATTTAGAAGTCGGCCATCTTGGATACAACTTTTGTTTTTCCAATAGGAAGAGGGCCATGTGACACATCACACTTATTGGTAATGTCACAAGAAAAACAATGGTGTGCTTGGTTTCAACGTAACTTTATTCTTTCAATGTGCCACAAACAGGACTTTAATATCACCAACCATTCCCATTTTATCACGGTATATCCATATAAATGGCCCACCCTGTATAACAAATACTTATTTCTAAAACTCCTCATTCCTCAATAATCATTCTGTTCGCTCCTTCTCTTTTGAAAACCTCTTTTTAACTTTGATTACTAAACTTAATTTAAAATAATACTGCACTAGCTAAGTACTCTATGAGCACGCTCAGAAAAAGTATTTTTACACATTTGTTTAACAGGTTTGCAAGCACTTTATACAACCTACGTACATATACTGCATTTAAAAAAGGTTAGTCACAAGAGTGTTATCAGATCCAAGGGTTCAACTCACCTCAATCAAATGAGCCAAATCATAACAACAGTCAACTCAAGGTGCTACCCTACAATAATACAGAGAAAACCCCAACAATCAAACAACAACCAAGCAATTGGCAAAAGTGGGAAGGAAAAACTCAATTTTAACAGGAAGAAACATCCGGCACAACCAGGCTCAGGGAGGGGCGGGGCCATCCGCCTGCAGCCAGTCGGAGGTGAGGGGGAGGAAGACAGGATAAAAGACGCGCTGTGGAAGAGAGCTGGAGATGAATAACAATAATAACAACTAATGATTAAATGCAGAGAGGTGTGTAAACACATAGTGAGAGAAAAAAGGAGAGCGAACAAGAAGTGCATTATGGGAAGCCTAGTACAGCACAGCCTAGGCCTAGTGATCATGGGCAACGTGAACTCGTTACAGAATAAGATTGATGAACTGTGCGCTCTGAACAACCACAGACTATACCGTGAGTGCAGCTTGTTTATCTTCACGGAGACGTGGCTAACCGAGCTAACGCCGCAGGCTAACGTAGACCTATGCGGTTTCACATCCGTGAGAGCCGATAGGGACACGCAGGCCAGCAGAAAAAGCAGAGGTGGGAGACTCATTGTCTACGTTAACAACAGATACTGTAACCCTGGACACAAAAAGAGAGCTAATCCAGAATATCACAACTGGCGACGAGGATTCTAAAGATTTCCACAGCGTGACAGAGGCTGTAGGAGGGCTGTGTTCACATGTAAAGAAAAAGACAAACCAAGACGTTTTCTTCACGGCTGCAGCGGAACAGCTTTTGGTGAGCTAACATGGCGATGCATGTGGGTCGTGTTGAAGAGTATAATGAATCGAAGGAAGATTTTGAGTCATATTTGGAGCGGTTGGAGCAATGGATGTTGGCAAATGATGTTTCCGATGAGAAGAAAGTGTGCACGTTTCTCTCTGTGATCGGAGCAGATACATACAGGCTGCTAAAGAATCTTGTGTCTCCGAGGGTACCGAGTACCATGGGATATGCAGCGCTGACTGGGGCGTTAAGTGCGCATTATAAGCCGACTCCAGTGGTGATAGCTGAGCGTTTTCGTTTTCAGAAACGTAACCAGAAAGAAGGGGAGGCAGTTTCTGACTATGTTGTCGCCCTGAGGCAGTTGTCAGCCACATGTGATTTTGGACAATATTTGGATGAGGCCCTGAGGGATCGTTTTGTTAGTGGGCTGCGTTCTGATGCTGTGCAGCGCAAGCTACTATCGGAAAAGAGATCTTACATTTCCACGTGCATGTGAGATTGCCGTATCCATGGAACTCGCTTCGAAAAATACGATGGAGTTCTCAGGACGCCAGGACCCTCACCACGTAAATGCCTTGACAAATGCTCCAAATTTTTTCAACAAAGGATGGAAAGGACAGAACAGGCAAGAGGGCAATAACAAGCCAAAGAACTGGAAGGGACCTAAAAAAGACACAGGAATGAAGCAACCATGTTATCGTTGTGGTGGAAAGCATTCAGCACGTGAGTGCAAATTTAAGAGTGAAAAGTGTCATGTTTGTGCAAAAATAGGACACATTGCACGTGCTTGCAGGAATAAAAAATTCAGTCAGCAAACTCAGTATTTGGAAACTGAGGATGAATGCTCAAGTAGGAATGATGAAGCTGAACTTTTTGGAGTTTATTCAATGTACTCCATCACCTCCAGTGAGAAGGGATACACAGTGGATGTTGCGCTTGGGAGCAAGAACACCACCATGCTGCTGGATACAGGATCAGCAGTGTCGGTAGTATCAGACAAGTATTATCAGATGCATCTCACTCATTTCCCTATAAAACCAGCCAGTGGGCTAAAGCTCAAGTCCTACTCAGGCCAACACATTGCTGTGCGTGGATATATTATGTTACCAGTACAGTATGGGACTCAAAACATCACCCTACCACTGATCGTTGTTCAGGGAGACAGACCAGCTCTGATTGGACGAAACTGGTTAAAGAAACTACAGCTGAACTGGAAACAGATTTTCACAGTACACAAGGTACTGGTGCAGAAAGAAGCAAAGCCAGGAGTACTAGAAGTGATTCAGCGCCATCAGGCAGTGTTTTCGGATGACCAAGGCTGCATAAAGGGATTTAAAGCTAGAATCCACACTAAACCAAACACCACACCAATTTTCTGTAAAGCTCGCCCAGTTCCTTATGCACTAAAAGAAGCTGTGGAAAAGGAGCTGGACAGATTGGAAAAGGTGAAGGTTATTTCAAAGGTTGAGAAAAGTGAGTGGGCATCCCCTATTGTTACTGTGCCAAAGGCAGACAAAACAATTAGGATATGTGGTGACTACAAAGTCAGTGTCAACCAGTGTGTTGAAGAGGAAAGATATCCACTTCCAAATACTGAAGATTTGTTTGCCACTTTAGCTGGAGGAACATCCTTCAGTAAACTTGACCTTTCTCATGCCTATCAGCAGCTACAGTTAGATGAAGAATCAGAGAAGTATCTGGTCATCAACACACACAAAGGTCTCTATAAGTACAATCGCCTCAGCTATGGTGTTTCCAGTGCTCCGGCTCTTTTCCAGTCTGTGATGGATCAAATCCTTCAGGGGATGGAGCATGTGACCTGCTTTTTGGATGACATCCTCATCACTGCTTCATCTGAAAGGGATCATTTGAAGAGGTTGGAGGAAGTACTCACACGTCTGGAGAAGCATGGTGTCAGAGTGAAGCTTTCCAAGTGCCACTTTCTTCAGAGCAGTGTGGAGTACCTGGGACATCGTATTGACAGGGATGGTCTGCATCCTTTAGAGGAAAAGGTAGCAGCCATAGCAAATGCACCAGAACCAACAAACGTCACTGAACTGAAGTCCTTTCTTGGTCTTCTAAATTACTACAGTCGATTTTTGGAAAATCCATCCACCATTCTTCAGCCTTTGCATAACCTGTTGAGAAAAGATGCTAAATGGATTTGGACCATGGAATGTGCAAAAGCATTCAGGGATGCAAAAAGTCTACTGCTGCAGAACAAAGTGTTGGTGCACTACAGCACAAATCTGCCATTGAAGTTAGCCTGCGATGCATCACCTTATGGATTGGGCGCAGTCATCTCTCATGTCATGGAAAATGGAGAGGAAAGGCCTGTGGCTTTCGCATCAAGAACATTAACTGAAGCTGAGCGAAAGTATGCCCAGATAGAAAAAGAGGCCCTTGCCATAATTTTTGGAGTAAAGAAATTCCATAAATATCTGTATGGAAGGAAATTCACCCTCATAACAGATCATAAGCCACTGCTGGCTATACTAGGGCCAAAGTCAGCTGTCCCAACACTCGCTGCACTAAGAATGCAACGCTGGGCTCTTATTCTAATGGCATACAACTATGACATTGAATATAGAAGATCAGCTGAACATGCTAATGCAGATGCATTGTCACGTCTACCTCGGAATACGCCAGACAACATTGCCGCTGAGGGAAGTATCTTCTATTTCTCACATGTGGAAGAGCTACCAATAGTAGCTAAAGACATTGAGAGAGCAACCATGAAGGATCCAATCCTCAGCAAGGTCTGGAGCTACACCATGAATGGGTGGCCGAGTTATATGCAAGACGAATCACTTAAGCCTTACTTTACACGCAGACACGAGCTGTCAGCAGAACAAGGATGTGTTCTTTGGGGACAACGGGTCATCATTCCACCGGTTTACCAACAGAAAGTGCTGGAAGACCTGCATCATGAACATCCAGGTATCTGTCGTATGAAAGCACTCGCTCGCAGTTACCTGTGGTGGCCAGGCTGTGATGGTGATATACAAGAACTGGTTCAAAGCTGCTCAGTCTGTCAGGCTGTACAGAAGTCACCACCCGTTGCACCACTCCATCCGTGGAAGTGGCCTGAGAGAGTTTGGCAACGGATTCACATTGATTTCGCTGAAAAAGGCAAGCAGTACTTTTTAGTTGTCATTGACAGTCATTCAAAATGGTTGGAAGTGTTCCCTATGCCATCCATTACCTCACACAACACCATTGAGGTTTTGAGAGGGTTATTTGCTTCATATGGACTTCCAGAAGAGCTTGTTTCAGACAATGGACCTCAACTTGTGTCAAAGGAATTCAATCAGTTTCTGGAGTTAAATGGGATCAGACACACAGCTGTTCCTGCCTATCATCCTGCATCAAACGGGGCAGCAGAGAGGTCAGTACAAATCCTGAAACGATCCCTGATGAAAAATGTGCTGGAAGCAGATGGTAAGGCCACATTGCCACTCAGTCATCGTTTGGCAAACTTCCTTATCATGTATCGCAGTACACCGCACACTGTGACGGGTCGTACACCAGCAGAGTTGTTCCTGAAACGTCAGATCCGGACTCGCTTCAGCCTGCTGAAACCTGAACTAAGCAGACACATTGAACAGAAACAGTCTGAGCAGAAGCGACACCATGATTACAAAACCCAACCTGTTCGTGTTTTTTCGGAGGGAGACGCTGTGCGTATCCGAAACTTCAGGGGGGGGGAAACAAAATGGACTCAGGGAACAGTTCTGAAGAAAATGGGAAGTGTTACTTACCTGATACAAGAGGGACAGAGAACACGCACAATACATGTGGATCACCTGTTACCATGGAGACAGACTGTGGAGAAACCCCCAGTTATATTTTCACCGGTTTCAGAGGGACGGCCAGAAGTGATTATGGACAGTGTTGTTCCAGAGATACCACCAAGTCCACCTGGGATTTTAACATCACACTCCTTACCTCCTGAACCACCTAAACAGACAACCGATGAACCACCAGTATCCACCCCAGAAACCACCCAAAGCCCATCTGTGGAACGCAGATACCCAGAGAGACGCAGAGTTCCCCCAAAGAGACTGAATCTTTGAAAATGTAGAGTTATGTTTTAGTTATTTACTGCCAGTTATTTTAGAAGTGAAGAGTTAATAATGGAAGTAATGGCTACATTTGTTCATTGTTCGTAAGGGCCACAGAATATTTCTTTTTGGTGGGGGCAGTGAAATACATTCTTTAAAGGGTTGCTTACTTCAATTACAAATCTAAAAGGGGAGGAATGTAATAGAGTGAATTGTTGCCCCCCAGTGGTAAAATACAGAAGTGCCTGTTACAGGGCTAGTTCTTGGTTGACCAATATATAACAACAAAAAAGGGTAGTTTTCTGCACCGCTAAGAAACAACAAGTTAGTGTGTGATGTCCTGCTGTTCAATAAAGGCACCTATCCACGTCCTTCTGTCCTGATCTTTTAAGAGCCTAATCCAGAATATCACAAGATAAGCAAACCATATCATGACCAGCAGGTTTACAGCTGTGGCTCCAGCAAACATCAGCTGATACTAGAAATTAATATTAAATAAATTCTAACAACAGCTGATCAAGCTTAAACGTGCTGCTGTTGTTTAGCGCGACATCCGCTGGTTTCCTCTTTCGGCGCAAAGTGAGCGATAAACAAACAAGAGAGCCGATCAGCTGATCATTGATCAGTTTTCATGATTGAAGTAGAAACGGGAGAGGGAGGGGGGAGAATGAGAGAAGAAGAGGCAGCTGTGCAGCAAAGACACAGAATAACTCCAGCTTTGTGCCTTTTTCATTGTAGCTGAATTACGGGACAAACTGTTCCTTTTCACCTCAATAAGAAACGCGTAATATTTTCTCTGAATACCAGACGGGACGGTTGGCAACTCTAATAACTTATGAACAAAATAAAGTTCAACATCATTAACTTCATAGCACCACCCAGCTGTATAGAAACTCCGTCATGCTAGCTAGCACGCAGTACGGAAAAAGTCAGCATAACGAAAATAAACTCCACCTAAACTTGGTTCATATCTGACCCAGAGAGACTGCAGGTCATAACTTCTTACCTGAAGTTCAGTTCACACTTGGACCGGCGGCCGCCTCGGGTCTCTTTTCCTTCATCCACCTGCTGGCCTCCACCACTTGCTAATGTTACTGAATCTGTGGAAGCTCCGCGATAGCCACCACACGAAGTAACGAGTAACGACCCTATCTAAATCCCAGTAACGACTAACGCGTTCCTGATTTTGGCATAATAACTAGTTACCGTGCTCGTTACCACAATAATAACGTAGTTACTGTAACGCGTTACTTAATAACGCGTTAGTCCCAACACTGCTCACACGTGTACTCAATGTTGATTAATCACCGTGACTTTTTTACACTGCATCTCTTATATGTCAGCTATGACTGCTGCTTGAGAATGAGGCACGTTTTATGAATTGCCCTATATAATAATCCATTTACCCTTTACCATTACATCTAGTAAACTTAATTAAAGTTCAAGCTCTGATATTTAAATAAACTCCACTGATTACGGCTTTCTGGTAATACCTTAGAATTGCAGTTTGGTAATAACATAGTAGATAAAGTGGGGCGATCGTGGCTCAAGAGTTGGGAGTTCGCCTTGTAATCGGAAGGTTGCCGTTCGAGCCCCGGCTTGGACAGTCTCGGTCGTTGTGTCCTTGGGCAAGACACTTCACCCGTTGCCTACTGGTGGTGGTCAGAGGGCCCGGTGGCGCCAGTGTCCGCAGCCTCGCCTCTGTCAGTGCGCCCCAGGGTGGTGGGCTACAATGTAGCTGTGCATCACCAGTGTGTGAATGGGTGTGATGGTGATGACTGTATGTAAAGCGCTTTGGGGTCCTTAGGGACTAGTAAAGCGCTATATAAATACAGGCCATTTACCATTTACAGATAAGGCTTGGAAAATTCACTTGGCAGATCACATGAAAGTCTAGCCTAAAGGATGCAGCATCAACACAGTCCAAAAAGTGATGTTTCCTTAAACATGGACTCATTTCTGATGCAGGCTCGAATAGGTGGGTGAGACTATATACAATTCTGTATGAATTGTGGCTGATATCATGTGAACATGTGATGCGGGACTAAATTAATGCTGAACAACAAAACGTGCCGACTAGATAGGAATGCCACACAAGTTCACAGTAGAAGAACATTGGTAGGAGGTTTTGGCTTGGATTGCAGGAGCAAGGATGCAGCCAGATAGGGGAGTAGTACAGCAATTATATTCTTTATGACGTGATAGAAAAGCTGCAGTACTGAGACCCTTGGTGTAATCGTGAGTCACCGTGATGTTCAACTGCCATTAATGAAAATATAGTGTTATTATTAGCTAGTGTTTATAATTAATATCACATAATATATTTTGAATAGTTAAATTATAAGAACTTTATTTACTCATGCGAAGCACGTTTTATTATCATAGTCAGGACCACTAAAATATATTATATTTAGGGTAGCAGGAAACAAATTCACGGTCCAAACTCTGTTTCCTTGAACAACACAATATACGACTTGTCAATTCAAATGAGTATGTATCAACAGGTCTGTATTAAAGTTCATTGAAATATATATATTTAACCGAAAAGTAGTTTTAATATAATGTAAAAAAGTATTATAAAAAAAAAACTACGCAGGCACGCCCTGCGGGTTTGAAACCTAGAGCGGGCACCAGGTACTTGAGTCCTCGCATCAGCTCCAGGATGCCCTCTAATTCGGTTACCGGTCTGTGGCTCGCTACGGAACACCTATGCGATACAGGGACCTACCTCACCCTACATCCTTCGAGCTTACCCTTGTATCTCACTCTCGGTCTCTGATATGCTGTCATTGGACCGTACTCTCATAGGCGCTTTTTTAACAGTCGGGTAGCACTTTCCGTGTATCTGAAGTACATTATCGGTACACCACGGTCTCCCCTGCCTGAGGTATTCACTGAGCACTCGGTCAGTTGGGGCCATCTTCCCAATGTATTCTTGGATGTTCTTGTCTCATCCTGGACTGTGGTGCTGACACTCACCAGTCCCCGGCCCCCTTCCTTCCGCTTAGCGTACAGCCTCAGGGTGCTGGACTTGGGGTGAAACCCTCCATGCATGGTAAGGAGCTTTCTTGTCTTTATGTCAGTGGCTTCTATCTCCTCCTTTGGCCAGCCTATTACCCCAGCAGGGTACCTGATCACGGGCAGGGCGTACGTGTTGATGGCCCGGATCTTGTTCTTACCATTCAGCTGACTCCTCAGGACTTGCCTGACCCTCTGCAGGTACTTGGTGGTTGCAGCTTTCTAGCGGCCTCTTCATGGTTCCCATTTGCCTGCGGGATCCCCAGGTACTTGTAACTGTCCTCTATGTCTGCAATGTTGCCTTCTGGTAGTTCAATCCCCTCAGTTCTGACTACCTTCCCTCTCTTTGTTACCATCCGACTACACTTCTCCAGTCCGAACGACATTCCAATGTCATTGCTGTATAGCCTGGTAGTGTGGATCAGTGAATCGATGTCTCGTTCACTCTTGGCATACAGCTTGATGTCATCCATGTACAGGAGGTGGCTGACAACTGCTCCGTTCCGTAGTCGGTATCCGTAGCCAGTCTTGTTAATGATCTCACTGAGGGGGTTCAGGCCTATGCAGAACAGCAGTGGGGACAGAGCATCTCCTTGGTAGATCCCGCACTTGATGGTGACTTGTGCTATGGGCTTGGAGTTGGCCTCTAGTGTTGTACGCCACATCCCCATTGAGTTCCTGATGAAGGCTCTTAGGGTCCCATTGATCTTGTACAATTCTAGGCATTCCAGTATCCAGCTGTGGGGCATTGAGTCATAGGCCTTCTTGTAATCAATCCAGGCAGTGCACAGGTTGGTCAGTCTGGTCTTGCAGTCTCGGCTGACTGTTCTGTCTACCAGTAGCTGGTGTTTTGCGCCTCTGGTATTCTTGCCAATCCCTTTCTGTGTCCCCTCATGTATTGACCCATGTGCCTGTTCATCTTAGCCGATATGATGCCTGACAGGAGCTTCCATGTAGTACTGAGGCAGGTTATTGGTCGGTAGTTGGAGGGGACCGGTCCCTTCTTGGGGTCCTTGGGGATCAGGACCGTCCGACCTTCGGTTAGCCATTCCGGGTG